AATTATTCAAAAAACATCTTTCCATTGGAGAACTGGATTTTCTAGAGTCATTTCACATTCAAAAAAATCTTTCTGTTCTAGTTAACGATACTAATTCCAATATATCTTTGCCTTCGGCCTTTAAAGAAATTGTTTTAGTTCTGGTTTCATTAACAGATGGCGCCACTAGCTTATTTACTGCCCAGGCTTTCTTATCTTATCTTATCTGATCATCGTATCCTATCTCGTTCATTTGCGCTTTTGAAGTTGACGATGGTGGTTCGGGAAAACCATCGAAACTAGTCCTGTGAAAATTTGAAATTATAACGCTGATTTTTGTTGTTTGACTTCTGAATTACTATTTGTTCGGCGTGTTATTGTGTAATTAATTTAAAAGTTGCTTAAGTTCGGCTAAGCCTAATTTGTTTTAGCATAGCAACCATAGTTGCTTCCATTTCAAACTTAGCAGAATAGTTAATTTGCCTTTCTGCACCTTCAGTGTCTTTTTGCCGAGTGGAAACTTTTAGGGAACTTTTAGTTTTGCGCACCGAAATATCTGCCTTGTCGCCCGCTGGGCGAATTCCTTGCTTTTACATAGAAACTGGAATTTTAACCCGTCGGAAGCCGCACCAAGAAAAGTTACTAGAGTGGGCGTGTGGGGTATCACATACCCCAATATTTAAAATCCGATAAAATATTTTATTAGTTTAAAGCTGTTTTTCTTGTTCTCAAGTATTATAAATACGTGAATAATAATTGGGTTTCAAAAAATTAATTTTCAAAATAATCTTAGAGTTAAAATTAAGATAAAATATAAAAAGATAAACATCATGCCTCTAAGTTTCGTTGCTTCTCTACACAATGCTTATTTTATTTCTTTACACTTTGAACGAAATACATTCATGTTTTCTTGGCACAGAATGTTTTTACATTTTAAACATTGCATTCACGTTCTTCTGTCCTTGGCGCGAAGACAAAAAATTTATCACATCTTTCATACTTTTTTGTTTTGCATTCAGTACGTCAGTTTCTCGTAAAGTATTAATCTCTAGTCTTTGTTCAATACTTTTTTTTCATTAATTGTAATGCTAAGTCCTTCAAAAACAGACTTATGTTTCTAGTTGGTGGATTAGCAGTTGAATGTAATATAATTCAAGCATTTATTACAGCAACATTCAGTGCAGGAAAGAAAATTACCTTTGGCCACCTCCTGTTTATTCTGGCAATTGAATAATTGGCTGACATTTTTTCATTCCCCATATCCACTACTCCTTTAGTCATATTATAAAAACATATAATTTCTGACGTTTTATTTTCTCCAATAGTATCATCTATAGTATGATCGTTGTATAATGTTGAAAGCATAAGAACAGTTTTTCCTGTTTTAGGAACATCAGGAATTAATGTTTTATCTTTTTCGAAACCAAAACAGTGTAGAAAATATTCCCAGTTTCATCTTCAGTTTCCGAAATGCAATCTTCATCGCTTTCAAATATTTCTAATAAATCTCACAAGCGTTGCATCTCCAATTCACAAGGAGTCAATTCTGTTTACCATAATGCGGTTAGAAATTTTTAAGAATTTAATGTCAAGTACTTTAAAAATCACTTGCGAGTAGAAATAGTTACTGTTACACTCTAGAAATAATTTCTGAACTAAATATTCGGTAGAAAAACACTTACGCGAACAGGCGCGTGGGGGTGTGTCATACCCCAGTTCCAACAAAATACCGATAAATCTTTTTCTGAAACACACAGGCAAAGAAAAAGCGGTTCTGAAAGTCAAGCACAACTAGAAAATCAGCTACTGAATGCAGCACAGAATTTCAGTTTCACAAGTTAAGAATATTCCACTTATATGTAGGGGTGGGGTATGGTACACCCCAGGCGCTTTCCCGCGGGTTAATTTTGAAAATTGTGTTTTTAATTGTTTTCACTCTATTTGGTGTTTTACGATTTTCTGTGTCTTTCAAATTTTAATGAAGGTATTTTGAGGTTTCTATGTAGTTTTGCTTTGCCGCGAAATGAGAACTGAATTAATTGAATGAGAAATCTGCCTCTATCTATCATTAGAGAATGAAAAATCTCTCTAATGAAATTCAAGGAAATACGTTTAAATTAAACACAGGAAAAAAACGCGTATAATTTAATATTCCATACAAAAACGTCATGTGGTGTACACATCAAATTTTTATTTGTTTCATCTTAATATACTTTCACAGTATTTTATTATAATGCGAATGTAGTTTTATGAGCTGCATAAGGAATAAAATACATGCTAACAGGTTGAATGCTAACGCAGACATTTCAATGATATTGCCGCATATGACGACAGTAAAGTAAATAAGCTATGGCAATCGTTTAATTTAACTGGGATGCTTAGGAAGGCATCCAATATTTCACGAGTGCATATTAAACCCATCCCAAGCATGAGATATCAACATTCAGTTCATCCATCACCAGTGATAGGTGTTTCGGCGCCCTCGTTTGTCCGGATGGCAACTGGCTGCTTGTTGCTTCCGGCAAGCGTTATTTACCTCGTTGTGTTCACTGGACGTCATCAGCGGATGCTTTCTCTGGGATTACAGTATGCCTGGGTTTATATTAAATGGACGCTCATCGATTTTTGAATTTTGGCTTAGAAGGGATTTCCTTCCATATATTACGCAATATCATAAATACATCAAGTAAGACAGTTTGAAAAATGAGCTATAAAATAAATAGTACATAAAAATTTTTGAAGTATATGTGACACTCGTTTAGATAATCGATTATGATTTTAGTTACATTTTTATTCACTGCTGAATACTGAATTATAGAGAAAAGTATACAAGTATAAATTTCAAAGAATCGATAGGCGTATTATTCATATGTAGATGTTAAATAATTTCTACATATAATAAAAGAAAGAGTCTGTGTGTGTGTGTGTGTGTTCGCCTAGGGTGTGAAACGAGTACCGAAATATGTATACACACCTTCTAACCGAGGACATTTGAAGAACCAAGGACATCCTCGGTTGGAAATAATGCCAGAATCGCAATCAGGGACCTCGGATCCATGTAGAAACCAATTATGAGCCAAATCTGAGCTATGTCCTCGGTATGAATAAAAGTAGTTTATTTCTGTGTAAAACTGTGTATGGGCTGTGTATCCTTGTGGTTTTCCCCATGTGTAACGTGTATACGAGCAAGTTTCCGTAAAAAAGTACTCTACGAAGGCATCCCTCCCCTTAGGAAGATAGCTCTCGAGTCTTTGCCGTAATCGCATAAACCCTGCCTAACTAGTTTCATTATAGACAGCTTCTCTAGGCTAATATCTAGATTTATTTTAATAAAAGCTACGGCAAACTACTACTTGAAATCTGATTGTATCTGCTTTGTAAGTACAGAGAAGAACATACTACGTGTAAACCGCAGCATTTTGTTGAAAGTTGCAAACTTGTGGCTAATTTGAATTCTTTTAATCGTGAAAATTAACGATAACATTTTTTCTACTAACGAAAAGTCTGCAGTTTTAAACTTCCGAATTTGTTAAAGAGCGAAACTTAATTAAATTATGCTCAAGCAGCATCAAAATTTTCTGAATATTTCATTAACTTCTGAGCTCTTTGTTGATCGCATCACAGCTTATCTTCGAATACGAGGACTGACGGCTGTCTTCTGTTAAGTAATTTAATGAAAAGTTTGCTTTTTAAAATTTCAATAACTTTAATGTAATGGGTTGCTGTATTATATCAAAAATATGGCAAGTATAAGTACTTTAAAGAGACTGCGTTGCTATCCAAAACACGTTTGATCACAGGCCGAATGAATACTATTAAAGAAAATTACTAGAATATTTTAATAGGTATCATTTTCTTACAAAATGTAATGCAAATATCGAAAGAAATGCTCAGGTAGTCTAAATTAATACTGCAAATAGAATATTTTTCCAGTTTTTGTGTTCACTTCCTACACAGGAGAGCTCCAACCTTTGGACTTAACTGTAAATGGCGAATTCAAGTGTTTGCTCAAGGATGCGTTTATTGACTGGTATTCTAATGAGCTTCAATTTCTAGAGGAAAACGAATCTGTGGACTTGTGAATATCACGACTAAAATCGATTCACGCTTCTTGGCTTGTGCGCGTATTTAACGATATTGAAGCCAAACATGAGATAATTTTGAATAGCTTCAAAGAAGCTGGTATAAATAGTATTCTAAGTAAATGAGCTGCCTTCTATTAGTTTTATTGTTTTATATTCGAGAAATATAGTTGTATATTATTCAAAAAATAATTATAAGAAAGAAAGTTGTGAAGAAAAAGCTTGTAACTGTGCAATAAATCATTAAATTTTGGGTAAGTGAAACATTTCTGATTTTTTATTATTATTTGAGGAAGAAAAAGAAAGGTATTTTGCGATGCTTAAATTTTCGCGATTACGACGGGCTCGCAAAAGTCGCGAAAATTAAAGCCTCTCGCGAAAATAAGGGCCTTACAGTAGTTAAAGAAAAGCGCTATAAAAGACTAGCAACAAAATTCATTTGTTGATTTTGTTCGCACAAAATTTTTCATTCTTATTAATAAATATGTTTAGGTGAACTCGGCAAAAGCAAAAATTATTTGCGATTAAAAATTTGCAGCAACTCTAAATATATATTTTTTAAAATTAATTCTCATAGGTAATACCTACACTGTTTACTATGATTACAGTTCAGTTTTCTAAATTCTGCCAAACTAATTTTTGATACAGACTTTTCCTGCATGGACGTTTTCGTAGTTTTCTCCATGTGTAACGTGTATATGAGCCAGTTTCTCTTAGAAAGTCCTCCACGAAGGCATTTTTCCCCTTAAGCAGATAGCCCTCGAGGCTTTGCCATAATCACACACACACGTACAGACTTTTCCTTGCAGTGAAGTACATGTATGTGTGTATAATCAGTATCAAATAATTTGAATTTTTTTAATACATGTTATTAATTGAACCTTCGCAGGAGCTGAAATGGAAGCCTGTGGTGTACCAGTGGTGTGCGTTGTCGTCGAAGGAGGCTTGAATACCATAAGGACCGTTTTAGAATACGTAACAGACAACCCACCGGTTCCAGTCGTCATTTGCGATGGTAGCGGAAGAGCAGCGGACTTGCTCGCATTTGCCCATCGATACATGCATGATTACGAGTAAGTACATTTCAAGTTTATCTGTGTGCCTTATAAGTAATCCTACTTTCAGTTAACCACTAGCTAGTTACAGCTGTATTAAAAAAAAATGCATCTATGCGCGTTGGTAACTTTTATTTAATTTTTGCACAATTAACTGTCAGTAATATTTTAATTTTTAAGAGCAGTACCACAGATTAATAAAGCGTTGTTGTTGTTTTGTCCATGTATTTATGGAAGAATCGTTGCCAGAATCTTAAGGAGGTTGGACTTCTACAAGAGAGAGAATCCAGACGGTGGTCCGAGTGTCTCCTACCCCGCTTCCCTACCACCAAACCACACGAGACAACTTTCTGATCACCATATATTTAGAGTGGCCCCCATGCCACAGAGACATTATACATTTACAAACATCCATGCCTTCTCCAGTATTCTAATCCGGGTCCTGCCCACACACAGCACTTAACAGCCCCAAGCAACCAGGAGCCAGATTCTGGGTTCCAGAATCTACAAAGTAACAGTGCCCAGCGGAAACTGAAAACAATAATTGACTACTGTACTAGCAATTACTCTTCTGACGTTGGAAGATAGTAGCCATAAAGTACAAACTTGAGTCGTGTCTAACACACATTAGGTTCTAACAATGCCATTTCTAAGCACAGTTCTCTTAGAAATAGACATCGCACCTTCAGTATGGCATTAACTCTTCTTGAAATGGTACATTTATTAACCTGAAGACAGATTACTTGCTCTGCGAAGCATAGCAGTATGCACATTAGAACTATATAAGCTAGTTCAATATGTCAGCAGCAGAGTATGCGATATGTATGTTCAACATGTAATTTTGCATTTATACTGTGCCAGGTTTTCAGACACCAAGTTTGAGCAGTATCTGAATGCTGTACTATATCTGTACATGTTTATATCTTTTATTAATGATTACCTAATTTATACTAAGGATCACGCGTACCTCAATGGCAAGCTTCATGTAAATTTTAACTATCGTGATAACGTATATTTTGTGTAGATGTATATATGAATAGAGTGAGAGTATGAATACTTTTATTTGTTTCGGAATATATATGTATGTAAGTGTGTATATATCTGTATCTGAGTTGGTATTTATATATATATGTTACGGTCAAACACCGAAATCTGGAGAATGTCGACTTTCACCGGTGAATTTCAACATTCACATAGTCTCTTGGTGTATGTCCAAATATTTTCCAAAATACTCTTTTTCTGACTTACCCTGTGAATGTCGACATTCACCATGTACTAATGGGAATGTTTGAACATATAATAATATTATATTCCTTCTCTGTAATTCATTCGCGAAAAAAACGCACACTGAGACTCAGAATAAGAACTTAAGAAATATAAGAACTTAAAACACACAGTACATTCAAAATGAGAAAAGGAAAATAATAGAAGTTATAAACTTACCAAATTATGTGATTCAAATCTTATTTATTGCAACTACTTAAACTATTATGATACTTTGAATTGCACAAGAGGCCCTTGCTTTTATAACTTCATTTATTTGTGGAACACTTCCTTTTGGAATGGCAGCGTGTACATAGACTCCTTTCTTTTCGATCTACACCAGAGCATATCTGTGATTATCTGTGATTGAGCATATCTGTGATTATCTGTGATTATTCCGGTGGGGGTTTTTCCTAGAACCGATTCTAGCATATGCCAGTGTATATAGTATAGTGAGTATTTAAAATTTAGTATCTAATGTTCACTTTCTATCATCACTAAATAAAAAAAGGCAATTTATTTAGCTTTTTGTGTATAAATACCTGCAAATTCTCATTTATTCATATGTTTACGAATCTATTGTAATACATTGTATATACCAGTGGTCGCAAGCTCAAAGGTGCACAAGAGACAAATGCATGATCTGAAAGTAGCTAATAGGCCACAAATAAAACAAATCTGATTTGGATACCACGTGACTTTAAACGGCCTGTTAAATTCCACATATTTTTGCTTCATTTAATTTAGACATATTTCCTCGAAATTCATTAGCGATGTATTTCTGATTCGATTTATTCAGTTCTCCATGGCTAGGCAAAAAATACGTAAAAACTCAATGTATCTTCATTAAAAATTGTAAAATACAAAAGAAAACCTAAAATACCAAATACAGTTAAAAACCAGCTTAAAAAGATTTACAATTAAAATTACAGTTTGTGTGCAAAAACAAACCCTTCCCCGTCGCAGGAACAAAAATTTTTTGGTGTACAAAATTAATACCATACTTTTAGTCCCACTTGGCAAAAAAGGCACTGAAATTGATGCACAAACTGACTTAATTCACTATACTATACTACTGCGATTTTCAAAGTGTAAACAATGGGCGGCTTCGTTAGGCTTAGTACCCACTTAAAGAACTTTTAAATTGTTGATCAATTCTTTGGTGTACAAAATTATACCATACTTTTAGTCCCACTTGGCAAAAAAGGCACTGAAATTGATGCACAAAACTGACTTAATTCACTATACTATACTACTGCGATTTTCAAGTGTAAAACAAGTGGCGGCTTCGTTCAGCTTCTTTTAGGCTTAGTAAACTTAAGAACTTTTAAATTGTTGATCAATTCTTTGGTGTACAAAATTAATACCATACTTTTAGTCCCACTTGGCAAAAAAGGCACTGAAATTGATGCACAAACTGACTTAATTCACTATACTATACTACTGCGATTTTCAAGTGTAAACAAGTGGCGGCTTCGTTAGGCTTAGTACCACTTAAAGAACTTTTAAATTGTTGATCAATTCTTTGGTGTACAAAATTAATACCATACTTTTAGTCCCACTTGGCAAAAAAGGCACTGAAATTGATGCACAAACTGACTTAATTCACTATACTATACTACTGCGATTTTCAAGTGTAAACAAGTGGCGGCTTCGTTAGGCTTAGTACCACTTAAAGAACTTTTAAATTGTTGATCAATTCTTTGGTGTACAAAATTAATACCATACTTTTAGTCCCACTTGGCAAAAAAGGCACTGAAATTGATGCACAAACTGACTTAATTCACTATACTATACTACTGCGATTTTCAAGTGTAAACAAGTGGCGGCTTCGTTAGGCTTAGTACCACTTAAGAACTTTTAAATTGTTGATCAATTCTTTGGTGTAAAAATTATACCATACTTTTAGTCCCACTTGGCAAAAAAGGCACTGAAATAATTGAGCACAATACTATACTATAGAGCTTCTTAGGAAAGAACTTTTAAATTGTTGATCATTCTTTGGTTACAAAATTAATTTACCATACTTTTAGTCTTGGCAAAAATTGGGCACTGAATTTGATGCACAAACGACTTTAATTCACTATACTATACTACTGCGATTTTCAAGTGTAAACAAGTGGCGGCTTCGTTAGGCTTAGTACCACTTAAAGAACTTTTAAATTGTTGATCAATTCTTCTACAGCCATTACAAGCAGATTAACTGAAGGCTTAAAATACTTAATTGGACCATAAGAACAACATAATTCAATCAAATTTAAAGTAAAAAATGCATAGTGCAGAGTGAGTATATATATATATGTTTGGTGCCACGTAATTCAGTTAAAAGGGGATGTGCATAACTACATGTTATAGTCCCATGTACAAAATTTCGACGACTTAGCTATAAATTATCTTTGAACACTCACAATTCATCCCTCACAAAAGATAGAAGAATAAAAAAACTGAAAGCTTGATTTTACATTACGCCCAAAGAGGCATTTGTTAACGTTTTGCGTATTTATTTATTAAATGTCATGTTTTTCGCACTTAAACCATAAAATTCAGTTCAACAGAATTATCACAAAAGAATTTTAAAATGAGCATATCTTTAGAATTTCCGATACACAGTCTCGCGGCGCTGGAGATAAAAATGTTTTTTTTTTTTTTCCTTTTCGGGCAGTGTTGCCATTGCTCGCTCTGAAACCGTTGAGTTTGTTAACGAAAAATTAGGTTTACAAATTATGAAATAGATAATAAAACAAGTTCCAAATTTGGGCTTCTAGATGTCCGTATTCGGGTGAAAATGTACATTATTCAAAATTGGATGGCTCTAGGTACCGTTATTTTATCATAATGCGAGAAACATACATACATTTCTGGAGATTCTTCATTATTTCATTTCTTTAAATATAACACAGGGCTCTAATATTTGGTGGCAACAATTTGAAAAGTGAACCGACATTTGAACGCAAAATGAGAAAATGAAATTAATAGTTCTTCTGGGCAAATTGCTCCTTTGGACTAAAAAAACAGCACTGGATGTAGTAGTATTTATACTTCTGAAAGGAAAAACTCAACATTAATATATTTGTTTTTCAAACGGAGATTTCCTTGTTTGTAATATGCTTAAATTTTATAATTATTTACATTCCTCAAAGGAGTTCTCATATAAAAGTGAAGGAAAAAATGAGATCATATTTAAGATAATAGCAAGCCATTGTATGCTATCCCATTCATAATTTAATTATTGTATTTTAATACGAAATAATTATTAAACTAGTATTTAGTTAAATTTTTAATGGTTCTAAAATCATTTAACCATCGGCTGGATCAAAACTTTGAAACATACGGCTTTTACTAGAGTTTCTACTATAAGTAAAACAAAGTGTGAAAACTGAAAACAAGTAGAAATTGCCGTTTATCAAATGTTATATCTCTGATTTTAGTGCGTTCTGTTAATGACTTATAGCTCTCTTTCATACGTGCATCTTGAAATATGCCCAAATTAAACCAGTATTCCAAATACAAAGAGTCCAAATACAAATTAGGCAGCGGATTTTGTAACCAAGAAATTACCATTTTTCATAAAATTTGGGGGATTTTAGGGATACTGACAGCAGATTCGTTGCCATTTGAAAGGATAATTTCAATATTACCACTATTCAAAAACTTTTCTCTTGAAATATGCCCATATTAAACCAGTATTCCGAAGATAGAGCCCAAATAGAAAATGGCAGCGAATTTTGTAACTAAGAAATTACCATTTTTCATGG